ACACACACACACACAGAGCCTTAGAGAATACAAATTGACCATTCCTTTGAGTTGTTACTTGATTCTTGTGGTGTAAGACTTGAAAACACATTTGACAAAATTTATATAATTTTATTAATTCTGCATGCGAAAAACTTGAAAACATAAAAAAAGCAAGAATTACAGGAAACATGTACACAACATACTATAATGACAAACAAAACCCTCAACTTTAAACTTTCAATAAAATGTCTTAAACTAATATACAAAGGATTTTACATTACAGATAAATTTATGTAGCATAAAAGAATTAATGAAAGCTGATATTTTCAGACTATGGAATGTTTCACAGAATGTAATATGATATAAACCCACAAATCCGACAGAAAACATTAAAACTTATTGGTAGTTGAACCTGCATGTAAAATAGTCTTTCCCTATAAGAGTAAACTGAAAATTTTTTTTTCTTACCTTTCTGAAACAAATGTTAAGTTAAATGACACACCAAAGTTACTGGTCATCTCGGTATATTTACAAAAATATACACACATACACACACAAGTTCAGACTTTTTAAAACAAATGTGGTTGGCTGATGCTCCACGGGCCGTTTAGGATGGCTGGGTCGAAGATTCAAGGAACTTCAGAAAACAACAGTGTTTCAACAGAACTATATCACGATTTGTTTCTTCGTGTAAAACTAGCAAAATTAATCTGGAGAGAGGCTGTTATAGTAAGAACTTTCCTCTGGGAAGAAACTGGAGAAAAATTGTGTAAAATTAACAGATCCAAATTTACATGTGTACTTGTGTATTCTAATGTAACAATAGTTATTTTATTTCTATTCACTTATCTTTGCACTGAAATATTTATATGAAGTGTCCTCCACTATCTAAATAAAGTACAACTAGTCATTTTCTGTCATGTTTTAGTTCCATAATTTTTTGGTTGTAAGTAGAAAAAGATATCATTTGGAAAATGAAGCTTTCATATATAAGCAATTAAAGTAATAACTAAGACTGAAGTACATGAATTAAAAGTTTCAGTTATTTTAGTTTTGGACTTAGAAGCAACTATTTCATGGTTAACTTAAAGATTCCATGCAAAAAAAAAAAATACTTTGCTTGGTAAACTGGCTCATTTTAATTTTTGGTCAGAGTAAATGGTAAACAAAACTTTCAAAGAAAGTCTTGAAAATGGTTAAGTCATTGAATTCTGAAAAAAAGTACTTTCGATAACTCTATACAACAGTTAAACCCTTACAATAAATATTCAATATGTATAAAATATTCTTTAAGTCAAAGTATGATTTCAGTTTTAACAAACTATTTTTCTAGAGGAAAATAAATAGTTATTATTCTAATAACTCTCAGAAAGAGGTTCTTAAGCTTTTAATCTTCCTCCTTTCACTGTATACATTTGTGAGATATTTGATCAAGAAGAAGCTATTGAACCAGTATATACTCTATATGCCCATGTCTTTGTTAATTTATTAACTGCCTCAGTTAATTATGTTTGCAGCTGAATAAACAGAAACTAATAGTACTTGTAAACACTTATTTTAAGAAGGCATTTTAACAACTTATTAATATAAGTAGTAAAACAAAACTGCATCTAGCAAATAACACTTAGTTTTCTACATATATAAAAACTTTTGTTTGGTCAATGAGAATGTAATTCAACATTTTAAATCTACTATGCACAATTGCAAGGAATCAGCTTTACTTAACTTGATTGCTGTAATTATTTAATAAAGAAGCAAATATATATATATATATATATTGAAATTCACCAGTCAGAAAATATTACATTATCATGAGTAATGGCTCCATTGTCGACATTTGTTTTTTGATGATTATAATCTTCTTAGCGTGCTTCCCTCTTAAAGACCTTTTGATATGGAATAGACATATACAAAGTAACTAGAAATGAATCTATAACAGGATTTATATCAATTAATGCACTATTACAAACATTCAAGTGAAAGTTGAGTACATACATATTTTCAACTATTCAACATAAATCAACTTCACTAAAAAAATTGTGTACAAAGCTAATAAAAATACAGTTTAGCTATTGTTTAATAATTACCATTTCAACTATTTGAGAATGTCATTAAATTGTCACAAAAAAAAAATCATCACAATCTAGCTCAAATAATTTACATCTTTTAACTACTCAGGTTCTTTAAAACTGTTCACTTAAACTTATAAGAATTTTCCACATTGTGATAAAATTCATGTAAGTGCATTATTTCAACTATTTGAGAATGTCATTAAATTTTCACAAAAAAAATCATCACAATCTAGCTCAAATAATTTACATCTTTTAACTACTCGGTTCTTTAAAACTGTTCATTTAAACTTCTAAGAATTTTCCACTTGGTGATAAAATTCATGTAAGTGCATCTCTAAAAATAATTTTTTTTATGCTAGATATGTCTATTATATGACATAAGTTTATGTGGGTAAAAATATTCTACCCATATGTTAAACCTTCCTCACAGAATCTTGGTCATTTTTCATTTAAAAAGATAATATTTTAATAGTTCAAAGGTTTTCAAAGACATTGTTTAGAAGAGCTTCTAACAGCTCAACATAGCAATATTAACTTTTATAATATAAAATAAGACAGTTGTTTCAAAAAGTTTGCTAGTTTATCATAAATTGAAGAAATATCCTAAACAATTTGAAATATTCTTTACACAAAGAACTATCTCAAAAAGTACTGGAACAATGTTTAAGCATAAACTACTTGATGCCAACCTCCCAAACATATCTATTATGCAACAGTTTTAAAGAAAACTTGCATTTGCATGTTTACAACCTCCCAAACACTTATTATGCAACAGTTTTTCAGAAAACTTGCATTTGCATGTTTACATAATTACTCGTGAAATTAATGTTATACATTAATATTGTGATTCATTACTAACCAGAAAGCTTATTTCAAAAACATGAACTTACTGTTAGGTCTGAACTCTATTAAAATACCATCAAGGCACTTAATAGTTCCAAACCAGCTTAAATATTTTTTAAAACATTTAAGCACTTCATTTAAAAATGTAACTGAGGTATAGCACTTGTTTTACTTGCATTTTCACAAAGAACAAAAATCAACTTGCAGAACCCTAAAGAATTATGATATGAAATGGATATTCCATTACCTGGCAACAACTTATTAAACATTTTCACAACTTAAACGTACTCATTTATTAAGTTCTATCTTACATCTGGGAATATCTATGTACTGATAACAACAGCTATAAAAAGTATTACAACTATCAAAAACTACACACATTTCATAATTCTGATGAAACCTTTATGCCCAATATCTTGCAAGTATGCTAACTATTATTTGTGTAAACTCGTTTTCACACAAATGTCTAATACCAAAATGCTTTACAAATAAATAGGGAGTGTGTTTATTTTTCCATAGTGTATTATCGCAAAATATTTAGTTAACTTTAGTTTAGTAATGAATAGTTTAACAAATAAGCTATTTTACTTTATAATTTAAATCCTAAGATGAAGATGTGACATCAGAACAACTGTTATAAAACAATTTATTAACAGAATTCAAAATCCAACATTTCTTTCATAATCTGTAAATATCATCAGCCTTGGATTAGAAAAAAACATAATTAGGAGTAAAAACAAGAACAACAGATGCTATTCAAGATTTTGAATTAAAATACACCCACATGGATGTATTAAATGGTCAAATAAACATTACTTAATTAAAAACAATGATACTGTTCTGGAAATATCACTTATAGTCCCACATAATTCTTCACAGATGGTTAGACCAAAGAGTTCCAATACATTTGTATGTGTGTGTGTGTGTGATATATATATAAGAATTTCATACATTACGATTAGATTTATCTTACAATTAAATATTTTCATTTGTTTTCCTTTAAGGCCTGGGATTATCTTCCTTGACAAATGATAGGCTGGGCTTGATGGAAGCCCCAGAGCTAAAGGGGTTCACCCTTGGGTTTTATCCTTGGCATAGTTTGAGTCTGAAATAATTACATATGTAGTTGATGACATGATAAAACTCAATGTTCAAACAGACCATATTACAATGAACACTGTCTTGAGCAGTGCCAAATATATGGTAAGGGACCCATACTATAAAAATCTGCCTTAATTTAAAAACTATATATATATATTCTTCTTACAAAGTATTGAGCGTCAGAAAGGCCTCCTTGTTTCATATGAGGTTCAATCCACTTTTTTCCCCCCCACTGAAAGACGGAAAGATGCATTATGGCAGACTACAGATTACTGTTTTCTCGTTGACAAAAATATTGGATTGCACCAATGCCTTCGATGCACAAATCAAAATTTCAACTATCTATTCCAAAGTTTTTCAATGTCTTGCAGGTACTATTTAACCTGCTTTAAGGATGTGTAGAAAACAAATGCTGACTAATGCCTTAAAGTCTTCTTAGTTAAAATTCTTCAGCATCTCTGTAACTGGGCTCAGTTGATACAAAGTAATCATCAAAGTATCCAAAGAGAAACTCAAAGGTTGGCCTTCTGTCTGGCTCACCATCCCAACACTGTAGCATGACACTATACACAGTGTCAGGACATTCGAAGTTTGTAGGCTTAGGCATCCTGTAACCTCTTTCAACTTCTTGAATAACTTCTCGATTTTGCATACCTAAAAATGTTTCAAACACTATGTTATCAAAATTAAATCATAGTTTATTATTAAAATGCGATATACTTGAGAAGCACAATGAGTATTCTGCTCTCCTTGTTGTTAATTAAATGTATATTAAACTAGATTTTTACATTTCTTGCCACAACTATAACCATTAACAACAACAAAAAAAGCTATATCAGTTAATAATGTATTTCTGGCTTCAAGTTACTGAATATTAATATTATAGAAACATAGCAAACAAACAAAAGTCTAAACTTGCAGATTCCCCCCCCACACATTATCCATTTATGAAATATTTTTACACACCTCTGACTTGTATCCAAAAATGGGCAAATATTAAAAGAATGTGAAAAGAAAAACATCTGCAGTTTTTTTTATCACAAATTTTAGTGACTTGTGGAAGACAAAAGATAAATCTGCAATACTATTTTCACACACTCTAATTTTCAATAAAAAATGGACAAATTAATTATGGAAATGTGAAAAACAAACACATCTGGAGTTCACATGATTTTTCTCACAAATTTAAAGCCCATTGATTTCTAATGTTTTGCTACTTTTGGCTATTTTAAAATGTAACTTTTAAATAAAAAAGTATATATGGCTAAATAAAAACAAACAATTTTTAGAGGATTATCAATATTTTCAGGTCAATAAGTATCCAGAATAACAGCAGATTTGTAACAAAGTTTCCAATATAGAGTGAAGTGAAAAAAAATCTGTAATACATTTTTACTTAAATATATAGTTTTGATAACCTTTTTTTAAATATGTGATGATAATGTATAAATAGTACAAAAGTTGATGTTTAAAAAAAATTGCCTAAAATCCAAAAAAAAAAGAAGAAAAACCTTTTAAATGAAATTGGAATCCTTTAAAGCAATAATATTCATTGTTATTTTTGTGTAAAAAAATTTTCCTGTTGAACTACAGAAGTTAGTTGTATTTGTTATAAAAAATGTAAACTATAAACTGGTACACATATAAAGAAAATATAAATTTTATTGAATTCCTTGTATAAGACATTTATTAGTAAGGATAGTATACTACTATTAAACATAAAAATCATATATTTATTAGATAGAAAACCCTGAAACATTTTTTATACAGTTAATTAAACTCTGTACTATTAATAGGATGGATGAATTATATTTGTTTGGTGTTAGATTTCACTGTTTTCAGCCTTAGGCAGAAATGTGTTTTTGTTAAGCACATAGTTATACATTGGGCTACCTGTGTTCTGTTTGCTATAGGTATCAAAACCTGATTTTTAGCATTATAAGCCCTGAGACTTATTGCTGAGCCACCAGGAGGGGTGAGTATAAGACTATATTTTTTCTTTATATGGCAGTGTTAGTTTATTGTAAGTGATTTCTAATTAAAAGTTATAAAAAAAAAGGTAAAAGTGCAGTTTCAGAAATAAGTTATTTTCAGTCTTTATATATACAGAATCTCTATATTTAAAGAATAAGATATAAACAAACTCAATATCCAAACTGAAACAAACATCTACTAAACAAACCTCTAAAATCAAGATAAATTTATACCTGGATAAGGAACTTGGCCATGTGTAACAAGTTCATACAGAAGAATTCCATAAGACCAAACATCTGACTTGATGGAAAACTTGCCATACAGTGCAGCTTCAGGAGCTGTCCATTTTATAGGAAATTTTGCCCCTATATGGTAAGAAGTAAAACATTATAAGTAAAAAAAAAAAAAAAGTAATAAAGAGCAATAAATATGTCTCTTTAGTATGAAAAGAAATACTAATAAAAATTATGACAAGTTTCATATATTTAGACAGAAACTTGGAGGATTAGTGTAATTGAAAATTACAATAAAATGAACTTTCAATTTTTGCACTCTAATGGTATCATTTGAAATAGGACTAATTTAAAAAAACAGGAATTGGAATATTTAACCTAAAAACCACCATAAAAACAACATCAAAAACATAACACCAACTGGACGATTGAAAAAATCAGCACTACAATACAGTAATTAATACATAAATATATTAAAATCATAAATATCTTGCAAAAAATAATCCAATGTAAAAATATATCTGATATAATCTTAAAAATCGGTTACTGCTGTAACAACACTCAAAAAGCATTGAAGATATATGTATGTATGCTGGAGAAGAAGCTATGCCATGAATGTAAAACATCTTTATTAATTTAGTAAAAATTATCATGTTTAGGCTTAAAAAAACACAAGTCATGCATCCTCTTGCTCAGTTTACATGATGAGTCTTTGGTAACTTTTGAAATGATCTTTAAAACAATCAAAAATAAAAGTATTGAAAAGAGAGAAATAAAATTTTCAATCTGAATGGCACCTTAAGTATGTGTCGATTAAATGTCCAGAGATTAGGTATAGCCATAATTACTGAATAGTGAGGGCAGTCAACCAGCAGCACCAGACACCATTATGACTATGTATAGCTCTTTGAATCAAATAATGGAATTATCGGTCACTTTTATTACATACCACAGATGAAAGTGCAGACCATGTTCACTAGCAAACCTTGTACCCTTCAATCTGCACTTTGGACATTGTAATGATATAAAATGATGTTTAGTTTTTGTTATAATACGAGTTAAAAGAAGACGATTGTAGGAAGTTGTGTTTATAAGCCATTGATTTGAGATTATCGATGTTGTGTGCAACACATTGATGTCAAGAATATAGATTTCTAGAAGGTGGACAGACAATTAAGTGATAAAGATATTCAGTGTGAGACAAGCAGAAACAGCAGATAGACCATAACAAAAGAGAGTAAAGTTACGAGCAAGGAAAAGTTTGGAGTGAAGTGGTAGGCCTAATGATTAACGTAGGTCTAACGTTTAATATGTAAGAGTAAGACTAACAGTACAAATGGAGATAAGAAAAATAATTTATTCCATCAAAGTGTGGTTCTTAAGTAATTAAATCAGCCTGAGTGCACTCTGATGAAAGGAACAGAGGGTATTTTGAAGTGAATCACACACAGAGTACTAGTGCTATAGTAAAACTAATAGTAATAGAGAAGATAGTTCGGCTTGTCAACTGAAATTCTAAGGTAATTAAATAGGCTTACATGGACTTATAGTGTCTATAATATGTCTACAACTTCTA